AATGGAGACGAATGATACTTGGGACCTGACGATCTGTTGGAGTGTGAGCAGGGTAATATTTAGGGAAGGGACTTGAGTCAGACTTGAGTCCTGGAAATGGGAAGTACAATGCCTGCACTTTAAAGGAGGGGTTTGGGATATTGGCAGTTTGGAGGGATATGTTGTGTATCTTTATACGTATATGCTTCTAAACTGTTGTATTCTGAGCACCTCTGCAAAAACAGTGATAATGTGTGAGTGTGGTGAAAGTGTTGAATGATGATGAAAGTATTTTCTTTTTGGGGATTTTCTTTCTTTTTTGGGTCACCCTGCCTCGGTGGGAGATGGCCGACTTGTTGAAAAAAAAAAAAAATCAACACTATGGCTTATTTGCCTACCACAATTGATCTAATATGACATAATAAACAATATAAATAACATAAAAACATGTTAAGTACTGCAGAATGAATAATTGGCATAATACCGAGCAGTTTGACGGAAGTATGAAGAGGATATGGCATACAAGTACTATACTCCTATCCCTGTTTGGAGGGGCTTATATTAGAGAAAATGGAGTATAGGATAGGGCTAACTGTGATATACACTCATAATGCACCATAAAACAAACAAAAAAGCTATTTTCTCTACATAGATTTTCATACATAGCAGCATGTGTAGAGAACCTAAGATAACCCAAAAAAGTCAGTGACTTATTTCTAGTACCTGGCTTGGGTTTGCCATGTATGAATTTTGGTAAATATTTTTTTCTGTTTGTTGGGCTATCTTACTGAAACTTGGGCAATGTATGATGGAAAGATGCTTCTTAACGTACACCAAAAATAAAAGAAATCGGACGATAAACAACGGAATTCACTTCTCTGCCATTGGCCCCCCCCCCATCCCATAGTGTATGGTTTTTATGGTTGTATTCTCATTTTTTTGGTCTCATCTGATAGATGGAAGATACATTACAAAAAATAGATTGATTTTGATTCCTTTCATGACGAAAAGTACCTTGAAACTGAGCTCAGATTAGCGGAAATTTGTTGAGGAAATGGCATTACCAAAAGTTAAGTTTAAAGAGTTTGTACTTAACTTAGAAAGACAACTCATCGCCTGCACAGCCGCCCCTGAAAGACGAGGTCTTGAGAAGCTGTCGAAGTCATCTGTCAACGGGCTGTAAGAGTTATAATTTGTAAGATTATAAATTACCCCTAGGGGGTGTTATGTCAGCATATTTCATCACTGTTTTGCTGACAGATTACCATACTTGTTTGGACTCAAAAGTCTGCACCTTACTGCCGACTATAGGTTGATTACAAACTCCTTGCAAACTCAAGAACTGCGCAGTCCCCCGTACTACAAGAAATTCATAACCTCCCTTTGCTCTTGTACCATGAGCTATGGTGTTCTTCACACCTTCGACAGATATCGGTGACTTGATAGAAGCTGAAGTGCCCTTGGTTTGCCCACGTCTTCCATAGCCCTGGGAAAACGCACACTGGTACACTATGGTTCCACAAGATTTGCCCTTTATTGTTCACAATCTTATCACTAAAGAAGCTGATCACACTTCTCTTAAGTGTTTATTGTGTTTTTTTGAGACACTTGTTCACACTAATGCACAGATCGTTCTTTGTTGGTTATCCTGGCGTCCAGTGTCACTCTCAGTAGAGTCCAAAAGTAATCTGAAGACGCCACAGCGCCCCATGCCGTCACTGCCCCCAGCACAAAAAAAAAGCTGACCTAGTACCTTTTGCTTCCTTGCCACTTCCTCGATGAAGCAAAGCAGAATGTTTAAATCTTGCGTTTTAAGCATAGACAACAATGTCCACTATCTTTACTATGGTAATAAAGTGGAAGCAGGATTTCCCTTAATTGTCCTGCTAAAGTAAGAGATGTACTGTCTCTTTTTTAAACTACGCTTTGCAACACTGGACTGCAATGAGCCGCGGTCCCCTTGACCACGTCGCATACTCGTACTGCATCTGTGATCAATTACTCACTGTAGCAGTAAACAAGACTCTTGCCCCTTCTGAGAGGGCTGGGCCCCTCAAGGCTGAAGGGGGCTGATACCCCCCTCCTGGAGAAAATTTCTCCACAGAAATGTTTGATTCTTTGGCAGTGTTAGAGTAAAAACCCAAAGACATCACAGTCCAGTGCGTGTCTGACTGCCCAGTCCAAATTCCAATACGCAGTCGCGAATGGGTTGACATTATTTATACAATTATTACAATAATGCAGTAGTCTGCATAACAGTATATCTTCTATTTTTTGTGCCAGGAATGTCTGCATTGTTTATTCTGGACCCTATTTTGAAATTGGCATCTTTGATATTTGTATGAAATTGGCCAAATTGCAATTTCTGACCACCATTGGGTACTTGAAATAGGTGAAAGGGCAGTTTCTTGTACAGTTTGGACCCCCAACTTAGGATATTAATCCGTTCCAGAGAGCACATCGGTTGACAAAATTATCATAAGTCGAATTTATTTTCCCCATAAGAAATAATGGAAATCAAATTAATCCGTTCAAGACACTCAAAAGTATGAAAAAAAAAATTTACCATATGAAATATACATTTTCCTACACACACAAAGGATACATGCACAATATATATTGTGCATGTACCAGTGTATTAAATGAAGAATAAATGACACTTACCTTTATTGAAGTTGTGGTGATGAGTGATGACACTGTTTGTGTCCTGGGAGTGCCTTTTCCTCCTGAGTAATGTAGGTCCTGTTTGGCATTTTCTTCCAGAACAGGCCTTATCACACGTGTATGCCACTGTGATTCTTAAATCTCTCAAACCAATCTTTGCGGGCCCTTAAAAATTCACCAATATGAGCACTAGTTCCAGGCATTTTTTCCTGTTCACCTGGGTGTTAGTCGACTGGTGTGGATCACATCCTGGGGGACAAGATTAAGGACCCCAATGGAAATAAGTTAGTTCTCAATGACACACTGACTTTCTTGGGTTATCCTGGGTGGCTAACCCTCTGGGGTTAATTGTTTTTCAGTATTCTCGATAAACCACACCAACAACAGTCTCTCCACATCTTCGAGTAGAACAGCTGACCGTGGTACAGCAGCAGCAGCAGCAGCTGACCGTGGTGCAGTAGCAGCAGCAGGTGATGGTGGTACAGCAGCAGCTGACCGTGGTATGATAGTATTTCGATAGTATTTCTCACCCTTTTTACCACAGGGTTGGCACTAGAAGCTTTCTTTGGGCCCATGGTGGCTTCTTTAGCAGTTACAAGCACTAAAAACACTGGAATAATACAAAATAATGTATGCCAGAAATCATCTGCCCTGGCTTGTAAACAATGTCACACTAGCTCAGCTGAGGCGCTCAGGCCAGATGAACCAGACAGCCGCGTTCAGAACGAATGATGTAAGTAGAGTTTTTCAACGTAGGTCGAGGTCAAATTTTTACGCTGAGTAGCATTGTAAGTCGGTTTTATCGTAGGTTGAGGCCATCATAAGTCGGGGGTCCACTGTACTCAGTTGACAGAATAGAAGCAAGTTTATTCAGGTATACACAAATACAGTTTAATAGATTATCATGCATAGCAGCGTATGTATAGAGAACCGAGGATAACCCAAAAAAGTCGGTGACTTATTCCCGTACCTGGCTTGGCTTGCCATATATGTTTTTGGTAAATATTTTTTTCAGTTTGTTTTGGGGGATCTTATTGAAACCCCGGGCACTGTTTGTTAAGATGCTTATTTACGTACACCAAAAATGAAAAAATTGAACGATAAATTTAGAGTTCACTTCTCGGCCATTAGCCACCCCCTTTGCGGTTATTTTCGTATGGTTTTTATGGTTTCATTCTCGTTTTTTTAGTTCGTTTGATAGAATGGAAGATATATTACAGAAATAGATTGATTTCACGACAGAATGTACGTTGAAATTGAGCTCAAACTAGTGGAAATGTTCGATTTTTGCCGATGTTCAATGAACTTTTTGTGCAAGTCAAATTGGTTAACTTTATTGAGTCTCAATGATGCCGGATTTGTGATGGCAGACCTGTAGTAAAAACCTAGTTAGTAGTAGTAATTACAGTAAACTTGTGTTCATTGGTGTCGACTTTAAATATTTCTAGATTTTTTAATAAATTGCTTTGTTCATTAATTTTTGATATGTGCTTTGTAAACAATATTTTCATTGTGCACTTAATGTACCACACGTGTGGTTGTAATAATTTTATGACCTTGATTTATATTTGCATCTACATATTTTTATTTATATCTAACATAGTGCAAAGATATTTTTAATATTGAATATTGCAGTGCATGCCTGATAGCAAATGTTTCATACAAATTGATTGCTTAACATATAACATTTTGATGCTATTCAGGTTCAGTCTATTGCTTTGTAATGTTTGAATTACCATAACATCTCAACAAAGCCCCTGGAGAGTGAAACGTTGCCGCAGTAAAATGTCTCATTAGTTGCACTTGTGCTGTCATTGTACCTAACAGCTATTAGTTTATTTGTATTGCAGTTGTAAGTTCACTGTCTACACTGAAGGATAGGCAGGGATGTTGAAGTTCAGAGGGTTATTTAAATTGCAACATCTGTGCATGTTTGGAATAAAAAAAAATAGAAAATGACAGGTTGAAAAAGGAAAAAAAATAGAATACTGGAAACCGCATTATTTAAAGCAATTTGGTAATATTTTCTTTATTACTAAGCATTAAGATCCAGCTTTGTTTTCTAAGCATATAACATTTAGTTGTCACAAGCCATGTTGTCATCAGATGCATCAGCATGTGAAAAAGTACATACAAAAAAAAAAAGCCAGCAAGTATTGTATACATAGGAGAATAAAATCTAGAGGCTATTTGCATCTGGAAAGATTAACTACTCAGATTCTGATAGACTGATTGCTTTCATTCTGTTTTCAGCTAAATGGAGTGTAACACAAACATGATAATAAGGAATGTAGTTTAGTAGCATCATTGTTTTAATTACCGTCATATTTTGACTGTAATGATGATTAATTTGATAGGTCCGTGAACTGATGGCTTCATTGGGTGTTCGTAAGTTCCAAGAGTTGGTGGGTCGCACTGACCTACTTCGTGTTCGTGATTCCTGTTCTCCAAAAGTGAAACTTCTGGATTTGTCTCAGATACTTAAGAATGCACTACACATGAGACCTGGAGTGAATATTATTGGAGGATCTGTCAGACAGGTATGTTTATTTGTATTTATGTTGATTAATATAGCATGTTGTGTGTTTGTGTTAAAAGTAATGAATTTCAGTTGCAGTATCTACTTAAGAATTTAAGTATTAAATTTTTAAATTACTTTAAAGCTCCCCCCCCCCCCAAAAAAAAATAAATAAATAAATAAATAAATAAATAAAATATTAATGAAATTGTAGTAGTAACCCTCACTTCCACCTTTTATTTTCTCTCGATAGTGCACTTGCTAATAGCTCAGTGTCAGTAACTTGTATATCCTGCATATGAATCCATATTTACCAACCACTAAATTACATGCAAAATTATGGAAAATAATTTATTCTTAAAGGTTCAATAACACTAAATAAATTGCTCTGCCCTTATCTATCCCAAAAATCACTTGCAAAATATTATGGGTATAGAATGGAAGGTATTGAAGTGAGTAAAACAACACAAAACAATCTTGATTTCCATTACAATTACAGATTGTAAATAATTTGAACTACTCTTGCTTGCTCATTGAAACCTAAAATGCTTCATTCCCATTTCACAAACCTGGAATAACTATTGAGAGAAAAGGGGGCACAATATAATAAGTGGATTAATATTTGCAGGAAAAGTAAAATGGGGTGGAAATGTAAACAGTGCAAAGTATATTAACAGTTAAGAAACCTTCACATTACTCTCAAAATAATCATTGAACAGACCCAGAGACCAGGTGTGTTCCCAAACTTAGTTAACCCTTTGAGGGTCGACAGGCCCTCTCCGAAACTCGTTCTCAGGGTCGGCCAAATTTAAAAAAAAAAAAAATTATTTTCTCTTATGAAAAGATAGAGAATCTTTTCCCGATCATAAAGTCACCAAAAGTTTGAAATTTGATAGAAAACTTACGGAATTATGCTCTCGCAAAGTTAGCGGTCTCGGCGATGTTTACGCATCAGCGATTTTGCCCACTTTGAGCCCCATTTTCGGCCAATTTCACTGTACTAGTCGACAAAAAACATGAATATTCCGCTAGAACTCCATTTTTTCTATCGAATGGATGGAAGAAACCACTCATTTATGAAATTCAACTATCCAGTACAGTGGTCAGAATTTAGCAATTTTGCCAATTTCACACAAATTTCAAAAGATGCCAATTTCGGAATAGGGTCCAGAATAAACAAGAAAGACATTCCTGGCACTAAAATGACATTTCCTCTAGTCATTAGTCATGTCTCAAGTCCCCTCTTATATTCTTTTGCTTTCCACTTTAAATTTTTATTTTCACAAAAAATATAAGATTTACTGTTATGCAGACTACTGCATTAGTGTAAAAAATGGTATAAATATTATTGGTGCACTTGTGAAAGAATATTAGACTCGCCAGTTGACGTGTATTGCACGCTTGGCATGATTTGTTTACTTTTGAAGTTTGGTAAAAAATCGAACATTTCTGCTACTTTGAGCTCAATTTCAAGGCACCTTTCTTTGTAAAACCAGTCAAAATCATCTCAATTTCTGTAATATGTCTTCCATTCTATAAAATGAGACCAAGAAAACTAGAATACAACAATAAATACCATACGAAAGTACACTGCAAAGTCGCTGATTTATTAAAAAAAAAATGGTCAGTTTTTTTTTCTCATTATGCACTGTGTGCTGCAGGATTTTTTTTAGACTGTGCACACTGACCACATAGACCCATTCTTTCATATGAAGGCCTACCAGCTTTCTCCCACTAGATTTGAGGCCGCTAGAATTTATGAGTACTAGTACGTCAAAAACCCCTACGCGTAAAACGTACTAGTACGACGAAAACCCTCAAAGGGTTAAGGCTGGTGTCACAGGAAACACTTAGTTGTCTGAAAAATGTCTGTTTAATCTTTTGTTGCCTAGTGTAAGCCTTGTATTAAGACTACGCCATACCCAGTTTTTATAGTTCATGAGGGACAGGTCCTGAACGTTTTAGTCATAAGTCACTAGTAACAAATCTTGTTGCTAAGAGGGCATATAGTCTTTGATTGGTTAAAAACTAAATTAGCACTCGAAACTGATTTTCTTTTACTACATGAAAGGACATTTACCATGACCAATGAACACTTGTCTCAAGCTGGCATTCCTGTAACTACACGATACTTGAATACAGTCTTCCTGCTGTCAACCAGGACATCATAAAACAAATGTGGTCATCATTTGTTTTATGATGTCCTATTTAGAACAGCTGGTCACTCCAATTTACTGCTACATTTAAATGGTGCAAATATAAGTAAATGACTTGAAAGTATCTAGCCTACACCACAAGTTTGTAAATGTATTAATTTCATGATGTTCACTTTCTCTTTGGTTACTGACCTTGCTTCTACCTTCTTATTACAGGAATTTGGACTGGAATCTCATCTTGATCATCAGATTTTGAAGGAAGCAGAACCTGTACTAAATGGTTCTCTTGACACGGTAACAATTAACACAACAATCCACAACGAAGTTCGTGCCTTTTGCTCGACACTCTCATATCACATTGCCTTGTAAGTGGATGAGTATTATAAGGGAGGAAATAAAGGAGATTTTGAGTGCTAAAGCCTTAAGCATCCAACAGGCCTGTTGGTGTGTTAGTGGAGCCAAGTAATTTTTATTATCTGATATGCTGTTGGAATGTGAACAAGGTGGTATTTATGAAGGGATTCAGTGAAACTGATTCTCATCAGACACGAGTCCTGGAGGTTGAGGTATCTTTGGAGGCAAAGAAGGGAATGTATGAGAGTATAGTGCTACCAACACGCTTTACATGGGTGTGAGGCATGGGTTGTAAATGCTGCAGCAAGGAGGCAGTGGAGATGTCATGTCTAAGGGCAAGGTGTTTTTTTTTTTTTTTTTTTTTCTCTCTCTCTCCAACAAGTCGGCCGTCTCCCACCAAGGCAGGGTGACCCAAAAAGAAAGAAAATCCCCAAAAACAAAATACTTTAATCATCATTCAACACTTTCACCTCACTTACATATAATCACTGTTTTTGCAGAGGTGCTCAGAACATAACAGTTTAGAAGCATATATGTATAAAGATACACAACATATCCCTCCAAACTGCTAATATCCCGAACCCCTCCTTTAGAGTGCAGGCATTGTACTTCCCATTTCCAGGACTCATGTCCAGCTATATAAAAATAACCGGTTTCCCTGATCCCTTCATTAAATATTACCCTGCTCACACTCCAACAGATCGTCAGGTCCCAAATACCATTCGTCTTCATTCACTCCTATCGAACACGCTCATGCACGCCTGCTGGAAGTCCAAGCCCCTCGCCAACAAAACCTCCCTTACCCCTTCCTTCCAACCTTTTCAAGGACGACCCCTACCCTGCCTTCCTTCTCATACAGATTTAAATGCTCTCCATGTCATTCTACTTTGATCCATTCTCTCTAAATGACCAAACCACCTCAACAACCCCTCTTCAGCCCTCTGACTAATACTTCTCCTAATTTCCACACACCGAATTTTCTGCATAATATTTACACCACACATTGCCCTTAGACAGGACATCTCCACTGCCTCCAACCGCCTCCTCGCTGCTGCATTCACAACCCAAGCTTCACACCCATATAAGAGTGTTGGTACTACTATACTTTCATACATTCCCTTCTTTGCCTCCATAGATAACGTTTTTTGACTCCACATATACCTCAACGCACCACTCACCTTTTTTCCCTCGTCAGTTCTATGTGGTGTAAATATTATTCCACGGCTCCTCCTCAGAGGGCTGAGGAGGAGTTGTTGAAGTGATTTGGTCATTTAGAGAGGATTGAGCATAATAGGTTAACCTGGAGGGTGTATAAATCTGTAGTGGAGGGGAGGAGGGGTACGGGTCATGTTAGGAAAAGGATCCAGGGAGGGGGTGAAAGAGGTTTTGTGTGAAAGGGGCTTGGACATAAAGCAGGCATGTGTGTGTGTGTGTGTGTGTGTGTGTGTGTGTGTGTGTGTGTTAGGTAGGATTGAATGGAGAGGAATGATTTTTGGGACCTAACAAGCTGTTGAAGTGTGAGCAGGGTAATATTTTGTGATGGTTCAGGGAAACCAGTTAACAGACTTGAGTCCTGGAGGTGGGGAGTACAATGCCTGCTCTTTAATGGAGGAGTTTGGGATATTGGCTGTTTGGAGTGATATGTAAACTATTGTATCTGGGTGCCTCTGCAAAGATAGTGATTGTGTGAATGATGGTGAAAGTGGTTTTCTTTTTTGGGTCACCCTGCATCAGTGGGAGACGGCTGATGTATTATTCTGGCAAAAAGCTATCGGGCACACTTCTTGCCTATAGCAACTTGGTCACAGGTGCTCCTGTCAGGGTTGTGGGTAGCACCCTGGAAAGCTATCCTCTTAATTGTCTGGGCTTGGGTTTTTTTTTTTTTTTTAGTTTAAAACCCTGGCCTGACTTGGTACTTAAACTCAAGGCTGTATTTATTATGTTTAGTTACGGACAGCTTAAATTATGCTTTTTTTTTTTTTTTTTTAGGGTGGGAGTTTATCATTAAAACTGTATTTTAAATAATAGTTTTGTTACTGTTCACATTAACACTGCAGTGTAATAGTTTAGGTAAATTATTTATGGAATGTAGTTGAGGTGTGTGTATACTGAAGTTTCATATACAGACTATGAACACGTTGCAGTACAGTATTGCAAGGTATGGTACTGAGTGAAAAAATCAGTACAGTGGAGTATCTCTACTGTGCAGTATATTTTTTTTGTTTTCTCTCTCGTCATAATTAATAAGTCTTCAAATTCATTACAGATTTACAACCCACATGTATAGCTTTAAATTTAGATTTTATTAACACCAGTATGTTCAAATTCAAAATTGTGCTTCTTTGCATAGTGTAAAATGTGTAGGTTTACATACTATTGTAAAATATTGTAAAGCACAAAGGAAGCCACTAGCATGCATGAGCATTTAGGGCAGACTAATCCTAATGCTTACAGACTACTAAAAACTAGATGCGAGTGTGTTTGCGAGTGTGTGTGTGTACACTTGCCTAATTGTACTCGCCTAATTGTGGTTGCAGGGGTTGAGACTCTGCTCCTGGCCCCGCCTCTTCACTGACCGCTGCTAGGTCCTCCATCTCCCTGCTCCACGAGCTTTATCATACCTTGTTGTAAAACTGTGTGTGTGTATTTATGAGTATTGTGTGTGTGAGTATTGTATGAGTATTGTGTGTGTGTGTGCACGTGTGTTTTGTGCACGTGCACGCTGTGTAGTGTTCAGTAGTGCGCAGTTTTACCTTAAGCATCCTGTAAAATCTCCCTAGTTTGTCTTCATTACCTAGTCTTTTTTTAATTTAGTATGAATTTTTCCAAAAGTAGAGCAGATCCTCAAAATTAATACTTGGAGGGGCAGGATAAAAATCATGTGTATGGAATAAAATTTAATAGTAAATGTGATGTGATAAATCACAAAAGATTGTCATTAAATTAAACATTTGAGGTAAGAGTAATGAAAAGCAAAATGTACATGGTGTAATTAATAAGACAGCAGTATATTAAAGAAATTTTATCTTGGTAAATTACAGAATTACATTGTACTTGTTTTAGCTTTTGTTTGAGTCTGTTGAATATTTTACAAATTTTCAACTTGCCTAATTCTACATTTTACCCTTTAATTTGTAGTGCATTTCTGTAGATGTTCAAATGAGCACGAGGGATGTCAAAGAGGTATTTTTTTCTGTTGTGAAGATTGTGTTCTCTGTTAAAATGTTCCAGGAAATGTCATCGGTGAGAATCAGCATTATGGTATAGTGTTCAAAAGTTGAGTGAACAGTAATACTGTATTCAAGATGAAATATTAGTTTTAGTGGTTTTATTGATATGAAAAAAGGTTATAATAGTTTAATTTGGCTATAGTAATTAGTTTGAGTGATAATTGATTTGTAGTGGGTTACTTGAGTGGATTGCAAGGCACAAATCCCATTTGTGAAGTATAAATATCAGATTTGTGATTCTGTTTACAGAAAATATGGAGAAGATGGACTCCCAAAGAACAGCATTCAGATCAACCTCACGGGATCTGCTGGTCAGAGCTTCTGTGCTTTCCTTGCAAATGGTGTCACTGTTACTCTTGAGGGAGACTCCAATGACTATGTTGCGAAGGTTAGTATTAATTACTTAATATTACTAGTGCTACACTGCATGTTGAAAACCTATTTGATATATTAGGTACTGAGTATTTTTTTGTATTAACACATAGGCTGTTTCCCACTTAAGTAGGGTGATCCAAAGAAGAAACGCTGTCATCATCAGCATCATCATTTACTCCATCACTGTTGCCAGAGGTGTGCCTACACTACAGTTATAAAATTGCAGCTTATCAACACCACTCCTTCAGAGTGCAGGCACTGTACCTCCCTCCTCCAGGACTCGAGTCAGGCCTGCCAGTTTCGCTGAATCCCTTCATAAACGTTACCTTGCTCACACTGCAACAGCACGTCTTCATTAAAACCATTTGTCTCCATTTGCTCATCTCTGACGTTCTCACGTCAATCTAAGTCCCATGCACACGAAACCTCCTTTGCCCCCTCCCTCCAACTTTCCTAGGCTGCCCCCTACCCTGCCTTTCTTTCTCTACAGATGTATATGTTTTCCAAGTCATTCTATTACATTGTATCCTCTCTAAATGTCCAAACAACCTCAACAACCCCTCCTCAGCCCTCTGGATAATACTTTCAGTAACCTCCGCACCTAATTTCCAGACTTCGGATTCTCTGCATTATATTCACACAACACATTGCCCTCAGACACGACATCTCCACTGTCTCCAGCCTTCTCCTTGTTGCAACATTCAGCATCCATGCTTAACACCCATATAAAAGTGTTGGTATAACTATACACTCATACATTCTCCTCTTTGCTTCCATGGATAACGTTCTGTCTCCACAGACACCTCAGTGCACCACTCGCCTTTTTCCTCTCACCCTCATCAGTTCTAAAATTCACCTCGTCTTTCATAGACCCCCCATCTGCTGACAAGTCCACTTCCAGATATCTGAACACATTCACCTACTTCATACTCTCTCCCTCCAATCTTTTATCCAGTCCTTCATTACCAATACTTTTTGTTATCCTCATCACCTTACTAGTGCAACACTGCATGTTGAAAACCTACTTGGCATATTAGGTACTGAATATTTTTTTTGTATTAACACATTGGCTGTTTCCCACCAAAGTAGGGTGACCCAAAGAAGAAATGCTTTAATCATCATCATCATCATCATTCACTCCATCACTGTTGCCAGAGGTGTGCCTACACTACAGTTATAAAATTGCAGCTTAACCATGTAATTTGTCAAAATAAATATCTTTATCTTTCCTATGTTCACTTATAATTTCCTTTTCTTACATACCCTACCAAACTTGTCAGCCAACCTCTGCAACTTTTTTTCAGAATCTCCCGATTCTGAAAAATTGTGACAACTCCCACTTTGTGTTAATTCTCTATCTTTTAATCCCACACCTCTTGCCAACACCTGAGCATTCACTTCTACAGCCCTGTCTATAAATATATCAGACAACTATGGTGACCCTAGGTAGTAGGTTGGTAGACATCAACCGCCCAGGGAGGTACTACTGTCCTGCCAAGTGAGTGTAAAACAGAAACCTGTAATTATTTTACGTGACGGTAGGATTGCTGGTGTCATTTTTTTTTCTCCCCTAAACCTGCAATATTTTGGGTACGTCTTGCTGCTTCTACTTACACTTAGGTCACACTACACATGCCTGTGCAAGCATGCACACACACACCACACACCACACACACACACACACACACACACACACACACACACACACACACACACACACACACACACACACACACACACACACACACACACACACACACCCACACCCACACCCACACCCACACCCACCCACACCCACCCCACAACACACACACACACACACACACACACACACACACACACACACACACACACACACACCCACACCCACACACACACCCACACCCACCCTACTCTGTTTTTAACTGACAAATCCATACTTTCCCTATTTTTTTTTTTTTTTTTTCTCTCTCTCTCTCTCTCTCAACAAGTCGGCCGTCTCCCACCGAGGCAGGGTGACCCAAAAAAAAGAAAGAAAATCCCCAAAAAGAAAATACTTTCATCATTCAACACTTTCACCACACTCGCACATTATCACTGTTTTTGCAGAGGTGCTCAGAATACAACAGTCTAGAAGCATACACATATAAAGATACACAACATATCCCTCCAAACTGCCAATATCCCAAACCCCTCATTTAAAGTGCAGGCATTGTACTTCCCATTTCCAGGACTCAAGTCCGACTATATGAAAATAACCGGTTTCCCTGAATCCCTTCACTAAATATTACCCTGCTCACACTCCAACAGATTGTCAGATCCCAAGTACCATTCGTCTCCATTCACTCCTATCTAACACGCTCACGCACGCTTGCTGGAAGTCCAAGCCCCTTGCCCACAAAACCTCCTTTACCCCCTCTCTCCAACCCTTTCGAGGACGACCCCTACCCCGCCTTCCTTCCCCTATAGATTTATATGCTTTCCATGTCATTCTACTTTGATCCATTCTCTCTAAATGACCAAACCACCTCAACAACCCCTCTTCTGCCCTCTGACTAATACTTTTATTAACTCCACACCTTCTCCTAATTTCCACACTCCGAATTTTCCCTGAATCCCTTCACTAAATATTACCCTGCTCACACTCCAACAGATCATCAGGTCCCAAGTATCATTCAAGTATCAAATGATTTAGATAAAGAAAAATTGGATATCAAATTGGGGAGGAGGAGTATGGAAGAAGTGAATGTTTTCAGATACTTGGGAGTTGACGTGTCTGCGGATGGGTTTATGAAGGATGAGGTTAATCATAGAATTGATGAGGGAAAAAAGGTGAGTGGTGCGTTGAGGTATATGTGAAGTCAAAAAACGTTATCTATGGAGGCAAAGAAGGGAATGTATGAAAGTATAGTAGTACCAACACTCTTATATGGATGTGAAGCTTGGGTGGTAAATGCAGCAGCGAGGAGACGGTTGGAGGCAGTGGAGATGTCCTGTCTAAGGGCAATGTGTGGTGTAAATATTATGCAGAAAATTCGGAGTGTGGAAATTAGGAGAAGGTGTGGAGTTAATAAAAGCATTAGTCAGAGGGCAGAAGAGGGGTTGTTGAGGTGGTTTGGTCATTTAGAGAGAATGGATCAAAGTAGAATGACATGGAAAGTATATAAATCTATAGGGGAAGGAAGGAGGGGTAGGGGTCGTCCTCGAAAGGGTTGGAAAGAGGGGGTAAAGGAGGTTTTGTGGGCGAGGGGCTTGGACTTCCAGCAAGCATGCATGAGCGTGTTAGATAGGAGTGAATGGAGACGAATGATACTTGGGACTTTCCCTAATACATGTATTAAATAAAATCACTAACCACTCCAAAACTATATGCCCTTCTACTTTTAACTTAATATTAGAGGAAATTTGAGGCTTCGGCATCCAGTAATCTTAGAGTGCGAGAAGTGAATATAGAAGTGTTTTTTTTAATGGGGATGCTGTTTGAGTGAGAGCAGGGTAACTTTTATGAAGGAATTCATTGAAACCTGTTAGCCAGAGTCCTGTAGTTGGGAAGGACAGTGCCTGCCCTCTGTAGAGAGACAGGGATATTGTAGTCAGCATAATCTGATGGTGATGTCAGCTCACTTCTGGTAAGATGGTGTTTGCATGAATGTTGAAGTTTTCTTCTCTAGGTCACCCAGCCTTTGTGGGAGAAGAGACAGCCATAAAGTTAAAAAAAAAAAATATATATATAATTTTGTTTTGTTAGCTTTAGCCTTTCCTGAAAGTTTTTTCTTGTCTTACTTATTTATCTGCTGTTCATATAACATCTTTAGTACTGTGTTTAATATACCATTTTTTTTTTAATTCTAGTGGTTATAGCACTTGTGCCTTTTCTAACCCCTTATTGGTATGCTATGCTCTTCAGTATATCTATTTTACCATATTTTTGAGGGAATGAACCTTTAAGCTTCAAATAGAATAAACTTTTATTCTGTTAGAGGTATTAAGTAGTGAGTGAATTTGAGAGCCTAGAGTTCATTTCAGCAAGTTAAATTGAAGTTTAGTAAATGGTATAGTCTACAATTAAATGTATTTAAAAATGTATGCAGCATATAGCCATGAAATTATTTGTCAGTAGACAGCAACCACCCAGGGAGGTACTACCGTCCTACCAAGTGAGTGTAAAACGAAAGCCTGTAATTGTTTTACATGATGGTAGGATTGCTGGTGTCCTTTTTTCTGTCTCATGAACATGCAAGTTTTCAGGTACGTCTTGCTACTTCTACTTACACTTAGGTCCCACTACACATACATGTACAAGCACATATATACACACCCCTCTGGGTTTTCTTCTATTTTCTTTCTAGTTCTTATTCTTGTTTATTTCCTCTTATCTCCATGGGGAAGTGGAACAGAATTCTTCCTCCGTAAGCCATGCGTGTTGTAAGAGGCGACTAAAATGCCGGGAGCAAGGGGCTAGTAACCTCTTCTCCTGTATATATTACTAAATGTAAAAGGAGAAACTTTTGTTTTTCCTTTTGGGCCACCCCGCCTCGGTGGGATACGGCCGGTGTGTTGAAAGAAAGAAAGAATATATATATATATATATATATATATATATATATATATATATATATAAGTTCGCCGTCTCCCACCAAGGCAGGGTGACCCAAAAAGAAAGAAAATCCCCAAAAAGAAAATACTTTAATCATCATTCAACACTTTCATCTCACTCACACATAATCACTGTTTTTGAAGAGGTGTTCAGAACACAACAGTTTAGAAGCATATACGTATAAAGATACACAACATATCCCTCTTTCTACACATAGCTCAGTTAAAGGCTCCCCATTTTCATTTACCCCTGGCACCCCAAATTTACCTACTACTCCCTCTACAACATTTTTGCCCACTTCAGCATTGAAATCCCCAACCACCATTACCCTCTCACTTGGTTCAAAACTCCACGCATTCACTCAACTTTTCCCAAAATCTCTCTCTCCTCTACACTTCTCTCTTCTCCAGGTGCATATATGCTTACTATAACCCACTTTTCACATCCAACCTTTATTTTACTCCTCATATTCCTTGAATTAATACTTTTATAGTCCCTCTTTTCCTGCCGTAACTTGTGTATACATAAAAAGTTATCCAATTCAAGGTGTGCCTTGACACTGGTGAAGGTTAAATTTTCATTCCCCAGGCACTATATGACCCTTCTGGGTTTAGCACATAGTAAACAGAACACAGGCAGACCGATTAGTGTGTAAGGGACAAGTAAAAGACTTAAGACTACAGTAATTATCAAAGGATCTGTCATTTGGAGAAAAAAATAAGGCAAATGTAGAATAGATGCAAGGAAGACAGTAGTGGATTATGAGAAATTTCCAAACAAGATGCAACACCAGTAATAGTACTGTACTTCATGAATCGCCTTAGCTTTCACTATTAATATTGTTCTGCGCTCAGTACCTTTCAGGGAAACGAGATAGCAGAGCTGGAAAATGCAGTGAGGCCATGTAGAATCATCAGAACCTGTAAACTATGGGGATTGCCTCAGAGCACTTGGGTAATACTCTCTTGAACAGATACACCTGATACATACTGTACATGAAAGATACTTGAGGACCTAGTTCCTACCCTACACACTGCTGTAACTTATTGTAACACTATGATTCGAATTGAAATGAAATAAATTTACAATTAAATATGCTGTGAATTAATGCATTGCTTTTACCAGTGCAGTTTGCAAGTTGATGGAATGTCTGTAGTAAATGAAGGTTTGGTGTTGTATTTAGAGAGAGAATAGTCTCTCCACAAGTCAGTTTGGCTTTCATAAGTGCCGTTTCACTATTGACCCCTTACTCCGCTTAGATAATTGTTTGTAATACCTTAGCTAGTAACCACTCAATCTTGAAAAGGCATGTGACATTACTTGGAGATATAACATCTTGTGCCAAGCTCATTCTTAGGCCTCTGAGCAATCTAGACTTTCCCTTAAAAACTTCTTAACTGAGATATTTCTGTGTTTGGGTTAATTGCTTTCCCAAACTTTGTCCAAGCTGAAGGTGTCTTGCAGGGATGTGTCCATAGCACCACTCTTTTTCTACTTGCTGTAAATGACTGGCATCTGTTCTCCTATCTAACATTTGGTCATAACTTCGTTGATGACCTTGCTATAGCCTGTGCAGCATGACTGTCACCTTGCAATAGTCTCAGTCCAGAATGCTATCAACTGTGTTTTCATTGGGCCATCAATGCATGGGTTTAAATTTTCTGGTGCTACAATGCACCATGTTACTTCACCAAACATTGTGTTTTTTCTGATACTCCATTGTTAAGTATGGCACACCCTGAATGGGATATGGAATTCTTGGCCTTCTGTTTAATTGCTGCTGTCCTGGAAACTTGCATTACCACCCCGAAAGCAACTTGCCATAGCCAGCTGAACAACCTTAAAATCCTCACTCATCTTGTGGTGGCAGATCATTGAACTCTCCTTCGACTGCTTCAGCCCTAATTTTATTGTAGCTACACTGTGGCACCAGATATATTCTGCAGCTACTCCTGCAACTCTATAAATTTGTTCCCATCCATCATCAGAGATTACATTTATGTCGAGGTGCTTTTCACTCCTTCCCTCTCGAGAGCCTATACACAGAGGCAAATATTCCATCCTTGAACAATAGCCATGATGCCCATTGCCTTCATTATTTTGTCTGCATTCATGACCTTCACAATCCTTCATATAGGATAGTAATGGAAGTTAGTAGAGGGCCATTATTTATTCGCCTCCTCCCTGTTTATTACGTCCCTTGTCTCGTCTTCACCCACTCTTAATTTCTCTTCAGTTTCCTCTATATGTTTGCCTAGCATCTAACTTTCCTCTTTACCCCCTGGGGGGTTCCAACAGTTCATGGCTGTTCTTCCCCACTTTTGTGTGCTAAAGCTCAAATACCTACAGTGGCTTCTCGCTCCCTTTTTCTTCAGCACTTCCCTTCTCATTCTTGCGCTGTTGCAGTTTACTCTGATGGTTCTAAATCCTCTGGTGTCAGGTTTGCAGCAGTGTTCCCAGACAGTGTTGTACAAGGTCATTTATTAGACACTGCTAACATTTTCACAGCTGAACTATGTGCAATTCTCCTAGCGATTACTGTATTGTGTCCAGGCCTACCTCGTCATTTGTGGTAGTCTCTCAACTTCTTTAGTGCTTTGCAAGCTATCATAAACTTAACCTGCCTGATCCCCTATTTCATTTTCTTCTGGGCACCTGGCCATGTTGATATTCAGGAAAATGAGCAGGCAGACACTGCTGCATGATCAGGAGTACATGACCTTCCAGTTTTGTGAAGAGGCATTCATTTCTCAGATTATTTTGCTGTAGCCTCTAGCCACCTTCACAGCCGTCAGCAACAGTGTTGGTCCAAATTGATTCATAGCAAATTACTCTTATCAAGCCGAGTTTATGATCTTGGTCTTACCAATTTCATGGTTGAGAGACTACGCTTTCCCATCTTCGCAGTGGGCACACACGTCTCACTCAGAGGTATCTAACAGAGAGGCGCCCAGTTCCACTCCGTGAATTATGTTGTGATTTCAGTTTGCCATAGTTTGTTTGACTGTCCAGTCTATCAGCGAGCATGCAGAATTTACCTTTTACGTAACCGCTATAGCATCCACACTTTCTTCCTCGCTGATGGCCTCACCTTTAATGCAGACACTCTTTGATTTTCTGACATCAACAACATTATTACACCAACTTTGATTATACTCTCTTTAGGAACTTCAGGAATCTTCACCGACCTTTCAACCTTACCCTGCAGCACTGTGTAACCCTGGTGGTTTAGCACTTGGTTTTGATAATTTGAAATGACACATGTTATGTAACTATATGTATTTATGCTGAATTTAAGTGTAATGGTTAATAATTTTAGCCCTACAAAAATAACAAAACTAATATTAAGTGGATGGTGACTATTGGTAGATGCAGATGACTTTATGTTGTTCATAAGTGAAGCTACAGACAGTAACGAGGAAGTTGGAGAAGGTGTATAAAAAGTAGGAAATTGAAAAGAAATTAAATTAGCAATGAGATGAAAATAAATTGGAGTATGAAGAGTGAATTACAGTAGGAAATGCTTTATCTATACATATACCAGGTGGTTGTGTTTGTCACAGAAAATATGTAGATAAGAAAGCTGCAGGAGTACTGGGTGAGGAATTTAGTTTGTCAGTTGATGTAAAAAGGAAAATGAGTAAAGAATAAGTCATGGTAAATACTCAAAATTAGGAGAGGAAGCTTCAGATAACTTCATAATGATTAGGGACAGACCAAAACAATGCCAAAAGTTTCCTTTCCTATCAAAACATTCATATATACAGCCTCTTCTCACTTAATGGAGTTCTGTTCCTAGGGCCACGTCGGTAAACGAATTCGTTGCTAAGTAAGGAACGTATTATAATAATAGTGGGTTTGTCGGCCATCTTTGATATTGTTTTAATATCACCTTTGTACCACTTATAACATTTTTGGTATATTTTTAAATGTTTATATAGTAGTGTATTGTATATTGTAATACAGAATAGAGGAAACCAACTCTAACATACATTATTTAGGTATGCACACTGGTCAGAAAGCCCGTCATAAGTCCGAGTCGTCAGTAAATGAGCACATGGCTAAGTGAGGAGAGGCTGTATGTGAAACTTTTTCATTTATATACTGTGTAACTGAATTTCTTTGTATATATCAAATCATTTTATTCTCAGGGACTATCCGGAGGTGAGGTAGTGATTTACCCACAGAGGAATTTACCCGATGAATATAGAAGTGAGGAGAATATCATTGTGGGCAACGTTTGTTTATACGGTGCTACCAGTGGATTAGCATTCTTCCGAGGAGTAGCTGCAGAGAGGTTCTGTGTTCGTAATTCAGGAGCTGTAGCTGTTGTTGAGGTTAGTTGGAGTTGAGTGATACCTGTGTTCTCTGGGTAAAATCATGAATACACACATTGAAATAATTTTTTGAAGTAACTATTGTTTTATTGTATTCTACTTTGGCTCTGATTTTCATACTTTATTCTGAAAATATTTTTAGGTTCATATTTTAATTTAGTTTAAAATAAACTTGCCCTGGTATGAGGTCTTTTTTTTAATAGAAAGTAAAGGCTATGCATCCCTCAAGGTGCAAATTTAAAGTACATGTATATTACTTCTCTAGGGAGTTGGAGACCATGGGTGTGAGTACATGACAGGAGGACGTGCACTGATTCTTGGTTCAACTGGACGCAACTTTGCTGCTGGCATGTCTGGAGGTATTGCTTATGTGCTGGACCCCAAGGGTGAATTTCCAAGGTGTGTTATGTTGACTTCTTTAATTTTATTTTTTTTATTATTATCACACTGGCCGATTCCCACCAAGGCAGGGTGGCCCAAAAAAGAAAAACTTTCACCATCATTCACTCCATCACTGTCTTGCCAGAAGGGTGCTTTACACTACAGTTTTTAAACTGCAACATTAACACCCCTCCTTCAGAGTGCAGGCACTGTACTTCCCATCTCCAGGACTCAAGTCCGGCCTGCCAGTTTCCCTGAACCCCTTCATAAATGTTACTTTGCTCACACTCCGACAGCACGTCAAGTATTAAAAACCATTTGTCTCCATTCACTCCTATCAAACACGCTCACGCATGCCTGCTGAAAGTCCAAGCCCCTCGCACACAAAGCCTCCTTTACCCCCTCCCTCCAACCTTTCCTAGGCCGACCCCTACCCCGCCTTCCTTCCACTACAGACTGATACACTCTTGAAGTTATTCTGTTTCGCTCCATTCTCTCCACATGTCCGAACCACCTCAATAACCCTTCCTCAGCCCTCTGGACAAAAGTTTTGGTAATCCCGCACCTCCTAACTTCCAAACTACGAATTCTCTGCATTATATTCACACCACACATTGCTCTCAGACATGACATCTCCACTGCCTCCAGCCTTCTCCTCGCTGCAACATTCATCACCCATGCTTCACCACCCATATAAGAGCGTTGGTAAAACTATACTCTCATACATTCCCCTCTTTGCCTCCAAGGACAAAGTTCTTAGTCTCCACAGACTCCTAAGTGCACCACTCACCCTTTTCCCCTCATCAATTCTGTGATTCACCTCAGCTTTCATAGACCCATCTGCTGACACGTCCACTCCCAAATATCTGAATACATTTACATCCTCCATACACTCTCCCTCCAATCTGATATCCAATCTTTCATCACCTAATCTTTTTGTTATCCTCATAACCTTACTCTTTCCTGTATTCACTTTCAATTTTCTTCTTTTGCACACCCTACCAAATTCATCCACCAATCTCTGCAACTTCTCTTCAGAATCTCCCAAGAGCACAGTGTCATCAGCAAAGAGCAACTGTGACAACTCCCACTTTGTGTGATTCTTTATCTTTTAACTCCACGCCTCTTGCCAAGACCCTCGCATTTACTTCTCTTACAACCCCATCTATAAATATATTAAACAACCACGGTGACATCACACATCCTTGTCTAAGGCCTACTTTTACTGGGAAATAATTTCCCTCTTTCCTACATACTCTAACTTGAGCCTCACTATCCTCGTAAAGCTCTTCACTGCTTTCAGTAACCTACCTCCTACCCATACACCTGCAACATCTGCCACATTGCCCCCCTATCCACCCTGTCATATGCCTTTTCCAAATCCATAAATGCCACAAAGACCCCTTTAGCCTTATCTAAATACTGTTCACTTATATGTTTCACTGTAAACACCTGGTCCACACACCTCTACCTTTCCTAAAGCCTCCTTGTTCATCTGCTATCCTATTCTCCGTCTTAACTCTTAATTCTTTCAATAATAACTCTACCATACGCTTTACCAGGTATACTTAACAGACTTATCCCCTATAATTTTTGCACTCTCTTTTATCCCTTTGCCTTTATACAAAGGAACTATGCATGCTCTGTGCCAATCCCTAGGTACCTTACCCTCTTCCATACATTTATTAAATAATTGCACAACCACTCCAAAACTATATCCCCACCTGCTTTTAACATTTCTATCTTTATCCCATCAATCCGGCTGCCTTACCCCCTTTCATTTTACCTACTGCCTCACGAACTTCCTCCACACTCACAACTGGCTCTCCTCACTCCTACAAGATGTTGTTCCTCCTTGCCCTATACACAAAATCACAGCTTCCCTATCTTCATCAACATTTAACAATTTCCTCAAAAGATTCCCTCCATCTTCCCAATACCTCTAACTCTCCATTTAATAACTCCTCTCCTATTTTAACTGACAAATCCATTTGTTCTCTAGGCTTTCTTAACTTGTTAATCTCACTCCAAAACTTTTTCTTGTTTTCAACAAAATTTGTTGATAACATATCACCCACTCTCTCATTTGCTCTCTTTTTACATTGCTTCACCACTCTCTTAACCTCTCTCTTTTCTCCATATACTCTTCCCTCCTTGCATCACTTCTACTTTGTAAAAACTTCTCATATGCTAACTTTTTCTCCCTTACTACTCTCTTCACATCATCATTCCAACCATCGCTCCTCTTCCTCCTGCACCCACTTTCCTGTAACCACAAACTTCTGCTGAACACTCCAACACTACATTTTTAAACCTACCCCATACCTCTTCGACCCATTGCCTATGCTCTCATTAGCCCATCTATCCTCCAATAGCTGTTTATATCTTACCCTAACTGCCTCCTCTTTTAGTTTATAAACCTTCACCTCTCTCTTCCCTGATGCTTCTATTCTCCTTGTATCCATCTACCTTTTACTCTCAGTGTAGCTACAACTAGAAAGTGATCTGATATATCTGTGGCCCCTCAATAAACATGTACATCCTGAAGTCTACTCAACAGTCTTTTATCTACCAATTACATAATCCAACAAACTACTGTCATTTCGCCTACATCATTCTTGTATACTTATTTATCCTCTTTTTCTTAAAATATGTATTACCTATAAACTAAACCCCTTTCTATACAAAGTTCAGTCAAAGGGCTCCCATTATCACTTAAACATGGCACCCCAAACTTACCTACCACACCCTCTCTAAAAGTTTCTCCTACTTAAGCATTCAGGTCCCCTACCACAATTACTTCTCACTTGGTTCAAAGGCTCCTATACATTCACTTAACATCCCAAAAAATATCTCTCTCCTCTGCATTCCTCTCTTCTCCAGGTGCATACACGCTTATTATGACCCACTTCTCGCACCCAACCTTTACTTAATCCACATAATTCTTGAATTTGCACTTCATATTCTCTTTTCTCCTTCCATAACTGATCATTCAACATTACTGCTACCCTTCCCTTTGCTCTAACTCTCTCAGATATCCCAGATTTAACCCCAAATTTATTTCCCCCCACCGAAACTCCCCTACCCCCTTCAGTTTTGTTTCGCTTAGGCCGGGACATCCAATTTCTTTTCATCATAACTCAGCAATCATCTGTTCTTGTCACCGCACTACATCCACGCACTTTAAGCACCCCAGTTTTTAAAGTTTTTCTTCTTCTCTTTTTAGTAAATGTCTACAGGGAAGGGGTTATTTACCCATTGCTCCCGGCATTTTAGTCGCCTCATACGACACGCATGGCTTACGGAGGAAAGATTCTTTTCCACTCCCATGGACAATAGAAGAAATAAAGAGGAACAAGAGCTATTTAGAAAAAGGAGAAAAACCTAGATGTATGTATATATATATGCATGTGTGTGTCTGTCAAGTGTGACCAAAGTGTAAGTAGGAGTAGCAAGATATGCCTGTTATCTAGCGTGTTTATGAGACAGAAAAAGAAACCAGCAATCCTACCATCATGCAAAACAGTTAAAGGTTTCTGTTTCACAGTCATCTGGCAGGACGGTAGTACTTCCCTGGGTGGTTGCTGTCTACCAACCTACTACCTAAATTTATATCTAATTTTATATCTTTTTCAAAGACTATATAAATTGTAAAAGCTATGTGTGTTGTAAAAATACTGGGAGCAATGGGCTAGTAACCCCCCCAAAAAAAAAGTTTCATGATAGTTTGCTGTCTGCACTGAAGTATCACAAGTTTCCTAAAAGCCACTGATTTATCATAGCTTATGAATTAACAAATGATAGCATTCACATAACTTACCCAAGATCAGCATTGTGTATTCTTAATTTTTTTCTGTTTATTTGCAGCAAATGTAACATGCAGACTGTGGAACTTCTTCCACTTAAGCAGTCTGATGACATTGCATATATTGAGGAAATCTGCTGCGACAGTTTCATGATAAGACAGGCTCAAAGGTTGCTGCTAGCCTGCTCATGGACTGGCCAGCTCAAGCCAGCAAGTTTGTCAAGGTAAAATTCTAAGTGTTTGGACAGGTTGATTTTTATTTTCCATAGCAAAAAACAGGCAATCACTGTGTAACCAAAATACAAGATTCATTGTAAAAAATTTAAGACAGGCACTAGTAGCAGAGGAAAGGGGCTTTAAACTGACAATGCTAATAGCCTATGATTTTTCTATTTTAACCATATCCTCTCATTATAAACTAATAAGCATTAATATACCTGATCATATCTTGTCACCTTCCAGTCGAATCTGGTCACCTTTTCATGTCCATTTCATTTGGCTTATTACTTTGCCTTCCAATTATATCCTATCCCATTATCTTTTATCTTTCCTTTACTTTTTTTCTCTTTAATCTTTCATTTTCTTTAAACCTCCCCCCTCCCTTCTTCTACCAATAGAAAAAAATTGGATGCATTCTTTTTCATCATTGTTCCTATTGATAACTTTTAACCCTTTCAGGGTCGACAGGCCCTCTCCCAGACTTGTTCTCAGGGTCAACAAATTTAAAAAAAAATAAAAATTATTTTTTCTTACGAAAAGATAGAGGAACTTTTCCCAATCATAATGACACCACAAGTATGAAATTTGATGGAAAATTTACAGAATTATGCTCTTGCGAAGTTAGCGGTCTCGATGTTTATGCATCGGCGATTTTGCCCACTTTGAGCCCTATTTGCGGCCAATTCCAGTGAGCTAGTCGACAAAAATCATAACCATTTCGCTAGAACTCCATTTTTTCTATCGAATGAGTACAAGAAACCACCCATTTACCGATTTCAACTATCCAATAAAGTGGTCGGAATTTAGCAATTTTGCCAATTTCACACAAATTTCAAGAGATGCCAATTTCCAAATAGGGTTCAGAATAAACAAGAAAGACATTCCTGGCACTAAAATAGCACTTCCTCTGTTCATTACTCACGTCCCCACACCCCTCTTACGTTCTTTTGCTTTCCACTTTGAATTTTTATTCTCACAAATAGATGATTTACTGTTATGCAGACTACTGCATTAGTGTTGAATGGTATAAATAAATCAGCACACTTGGAAAGAATATTAGACTCACTAGTTGACGTGTATTGGACACGTAGCATGATTTGTTTACTTTTTTAACTTTGGCAAAAATCAAGATTTCTGCTAGTTTGAGCTCAATTTCAAGGTTTCTTTTCATTGAAAACCCAATCAAATCATCTCAATTTCTGTAATTGTCTCTCATTCTATAAAATGAGACCAGGAAAACTAGAATACCATCATAAATACCATGCAAAAATACAGTGCAAAGTCACTGTTTTAAACCAAAAACAGTCAGTTTTTTTTTTCTCATTACGCACTGTGTGCTGCAGGATTTTTTTTATACTGCGCACATTGACCACATAGACCCATTCTTTCATATGTAGGCCTACCAGCTTTGTCTCACTAGATTTGAGGGCGCTAGAATTCAAGCGTGCTAGTACGTCAAAAACGCTGGTGTGTAAGCCGTACTAGTACGTCGGAAACCCTGAAAGGGTTAAATCTGTCTTCTAAGAAACTTCTAAGTTTAATTTATTGGTAGCATCAGACTTGAATGGTATTGTAGTGTGCTTAACACATTATGCAGGTGTTCCCATACGAGTACCAGCGAGCCTTGAGGCAACTTGGAGAAGGAAGCAGCAGCAGTACAAGCACTTCCTGAAAAGACTAAAGTTGAAGCCAAACCTGAGCCTGTCATCTGTGATATTGAAGAATCTGTAATGGATGCAACCATGGGAAAAAAAGAGGCTGGAGAAAATTCTTGACAAACTAGGTAAGAAGAATTTAGGTATTCTTTGTAATAAAAACTTTGCTTGACAAAGCTCCTTAACCTCAAAGCTACACCATTCCTGATTAGTCTTGCAAAGGTAATTAATGTATAGAGAGATAATTAAGTGGTTTTTAAGGTTCTTGAATTATTCTGCCTAGAATGTTTTGTAAAATAAGGGCTTTCCTCAGAATATTTAGTACAACATTTTCCTGAAATTGTTACCAACCCGTGACCCTACAAAATTTTGAAACCATCCGTGTAACCTCAATTTATTCTAAGGAATAAGAATAGATATATATTGGGAGAAGGGGGCTAGTAACCCCTCCTGTATAAATTACGAAATTTAAAGAGGCTTCTTTTTCTTTACGGGTCACCTTGCCTTGATGGGATATGGCCAGTTTGTTGAAAAAAAATGTATAATTACATGAACAACAAATACATATCATTTAGGTATTTTCTTTTTTTTTTTTTTTTTTTTTTTTTTTTTTTTTTTTTACCTGACTATTTCCTACCGGGGCAGGGTGACCCAAAAAGAAAGGAAGAAAAATAATTTTCATCGTTCAACACTTTCACTATCGTTCATGTATAATTACTCTGCAGAGGTGCTCAGATACCATAATTTAGATGCCCCTCCAAACAGCCAATCTTGGGATACCTTAAGTTTAAAAATTTAGGTTATCCTACTCTAAAGCTGAAAGCATTTAGTCAATCACAGGTTTACAAACATTTACTGAATTAATTTTTGAATAATGGCCAAAAAAAATTTTTCCCTCATTGAAGGATGAGCATGGGGCTAGCATAATGACCTCATTCTGCAGGGATTGGGGGAAAAGGGAAGGGATATGAATGAACATGTTCGTAAGAACATAAGAATGGAGAAACACTGCAGAAGGCCTACTGGCCCATGCGAGGCAGGTCCTTATCAAAACGACTACTACCTAAAGCTTCCCAAGAAATAACTCCCGTACCCAATGACACCAATCAAACCCAGCCCCTCCCACTCATATACTTGTCCAGTCTCTTCTTAAAGCTACCCAAGGTCCTAGCCTCTATCACCCCATTGGGAAGACTGTTCCACGCATCTACAACTCTGTTAGAAAACCAGTACTTACCTATGTCCCTTCTAAATCTAAATTTATCCAACTTAAATCCATTATTCCTGGTTCTTACCTGGTTCGACACCCTCAGTACTTTATTAATATCTCCCTTGTTTATGCCTGTCATCCACTTATACATTCCAATGATATCTCCCCTCATTCTACACCTCTCCAGAGAGTGGAGATTTAAGGCTTTGAGTCTATCTTCATACGGGAGGTTCCTTACACAGTAAATCATTTTAGTCATTCTTCTATGTATGTTCTCTAATAAGTCTATATCCATCCTGTAGTAAGGGGACCAAAACTGAGCAGCATAATCTAAATGAGGCCTCACTAGTGATGTATAGAGCTGTAAAATAACTTTTGGACTTCTGTTACTTATACTTCTTGAGATAAATCCAAGTAATCTGTTGGCCTTGTTGCACACACTAAGGCACTGCTGTCTTGGCTTTAGATTTCTGCTTACCATGACTCCCAAGTCTTTTTCACAGTCTGTATGATCAAGCTCTACTTCACCTAGATTATAGCTTCGAGGGTTATTTTCATTACCAAGGGCAAGTACCTTACATTTATCCACATTGAACTTCATCTGCCATTTTTCAGACCAAGACATTAATTTGTCCAAATCGTCCTGGAGTTCATTAATATCCTCCTCAGAGTGAATTATACGGCCTATCTTTGTATCATCAGCAAATTTACTCATGTCACTTGTAATCCCTTCATCAAGGTCATTTATGTAAATTATGAACAAGAGAGGGCCCAAAACTGATCCTTGTGGAATGCCACTAGTGACTAATCCCCATTCAGATTTCACTCCATTAATGGTAACTCTCTGCTTTCTATTGGTAAGCCATGCCTCAGTCCATGCTAGAACTTTACCTCCTATACCATGAGCTGCCACTTTTCTTAAGAGTCTCTTGTGAGGTACTCTATCGAAGGCTTTACTAAAATCCAAATAAACAATATCAAATAAAAATCCAAATAAACAATGTTCCTAGTGTAACAGAAAATATCACTGCAACTACTGTGCAGATCTGTTTGCGACTTGAGAAAGCCCACTATGTGGACAAAACATTGTTAATAAAGGATCGCATTATTCTGCATTTGGGTCTACTTGTCAATATGCAATCTCTATGACAGATAGGTTTTGCTAGTGTGTACCAACTTCATTGGATTCTTTCAACTTAGATATATATTTTCTCCCACTGCAAGCATGAGAATATTGTAAAATACCTTGACAGAATGACTGTTAAATCCTCATTATAGGTTAATTTGCTCAGCAGATAAAGTAAGCTTCACTGCAAAACAATCTTCACCAGCACCATGATTTGAAGCTTTTCTTTTTTTTCCCTGACAAGCTGATTTCCTCTATTCTGTTATACAGTACACTGTGTAAACATTTAAAAATATACTGAAATATTATAAGTGGTGCAAAGGTGACATTGAAAAAGTATCTAAAGATGGTTGACACAAACCCACTAACAGCATGGTCTGCTCCTAGCTTATCGACCAATTCGCATAACGACCTAATCGTAGGAACGGAAGTCAGTCGTTATGTGAGGAGTGCCTGTATTGTAATCCAGCTGGGCTAGCCGAGTTCTGATATGTAAGCCTGCAGGCTCTAGCACAAACATCCTGGTTGACCAAACAGTCAAGAGAAAAGCCTGGCCTCAGGCTGGCCTGCGGGTAGTACAGTGAGCCCTGAAAACCAATCTTCGATAAACTTACTCGATTATCATTTACCTTGATTTTACTTCTCAGTAGCTAGTGTACTGTTAAACCTCTTGAGTATTTTGTTTAAGTGCTCTTCATATAATTCCAGGGGCTTCATGAAGTACAAGCGTGAAACAGCCATGTATCGGTCAGCTGAGAAACGCCAAAAGGATTGGGAAGAAATCTATAATTTTGATGGTATACGCCGTGGCTTACGCGTGCAAGCAGCAAGATGCATGGACTGTGGAGTTCCCTTCTGCCAGTCATCACATGGCTGCCCCCTGGGAAACATTATTCCCAAGTGGAATGACCTTGTATTCAATAATAACTGGAAGGAAGCACTCAGTCAACTCTTGCAAACCAATAATTTCCCAGGTAAGAATTTAAAGTTTTTTGATATTTCATTTTTTCTAAAGTATTTCCTTTGGGTTTGGAGTTAATAAGTTACAACTAAAAGATTAATGAAGCATGTCAATGAAATGTATTAAAAATGCAGTATTGTAATAATAAAGATTAGAAATGTGGATATAAACTTTGGTTTATATTGTATAATCTGCTGATTAATATTGTATATATATGTTTTTATTAATCCTGTCTTAGGCTTAAAGTAATTTGACTTCTCAACAGAATTTACTGGCAGAGTTTGTCCTGCTCCTTGTGAAGGCGCTTGTGTTTTGGGCATAAATGAGCCTGCAGTTACAATAAAAAATATTGAATGTGCCATTATTGATCATGCATTTGAACAAGGCTGGGTTAAGCCTGAGCCCCCAACACAAATGACAGGAAAGAAAGTGGCTATTGTTGGCTCTGGACCTGCTGGTTTGGCTGCAGCACACCAGCTCAACAAGGTAAGGCACTTTTTATCAATTTATTATTGGTACTTTCCAACTAATTATTAATTGCATATTTTAAAGATGCCAGGTTTGTTTTAATCTAAAAAAAAAAAATGTGCATTAACCAATAATTGTATACTGTTCATGCAATTACCTATTTGAATGTGTGGGTGGTTCTCATGTTCTTTGGTCCGTGCCACACGACTTTTCAATGGATTGACCCAAAATACCTGTCATACTATACCCACTTTTTAAATTCGTGTATAAAGTTAGCTGATACTTACTATGCAAGATGATTTTTTTTTATTACCTTTCAAGGAATGGGGGTGGAGTGATGCTAGTGAAATGCTTTTGATTCAGTTAATAGGAGCTACATTTCATTTTCTTTGACCAAACCAGATAACATCCCATTCCCCAAATGATACACAACACTTATGGAATTGGTGATGACCCATGAATATAATTTTTCCTCATTACAATATTAAAGAATTGTTTGAATATTCCTGTGACTCTTGTGTGAGTAGTTTTTCCATATTTCTCTTGATCGTATTGTATTTTTATTAGTGTACTATGTATGTATTTCATTACATGGCAGTTACGCTGAAATTTCATGGTGATTTTAAATATTACTACTTAGTTGTACGGAATACCATAAGTTATTAATGTCTTATTCATCAGGCTGGTCACTGTGTAACTTTGTTTGAGCGGAATGATCGCATTGGTGGCTTGCTGCAGTATGGCATCCCTACCATGAAACTTAGCAAGGAGGTGGTGCAACGAAGAATTGATCTCATGAGAAAGGAAGGCATTGTTTTCAAGACTAATGTTAATGTTGGAAAGGACATATCAGCCAGAGTAAGGAAAGATTTTTGTTTTTATATATATATTTTTTTTCTTTGGCTGTCTACCACCAAGGCAGGATGACAAAAGAAAGTAGAGGAAGCATTCATAGTATTTCATTCAATTGCTGTCTTGTCAGAAGTGTTCTGACATCACAGCTCAGATGACCCTCTGATCTGCAGCATCCTTACCATCTCCTTCAGGGTGCAGGCATTGTACTCTCCACCTCCAGGACTCGAGTCTGGCTAACTGGTTCTCTTGAAAGCTTCATAAATGTTACCTTCCTCGCACTAATGGCACACGAGGTCACAAAAACCATTTGCTTCTACTCGGATCTAACGTGCTCACCCAGGATTATTGGATATTCAAACTTCCCTAGAACTCGGAAACTTTTTTTTTTTTTTATCATTATTAGGCAAAAACCATAAGAATGGAGGAACACTGTAGCAGTCTAACTGGCCTATACACAACCTGCATGTGTGAAAGTATGTGGTTTATTTGTGCATTTTTCCAGTCAAGGTATTTTGACTTATTATTCTCTACTGGCCTATACTAGGCAGGTCCTTCTCAAATGTATACCTCCTAACTGAAATGTTTGTCCAACCTATTCTTTGGGGAGGAGGTAAAGAGTTGAAGGGGCTTAGACTTTGAGTAAGCATGCATGAGTATTAGGAGCACGTGGAGGCAAATGGTTTTTATGACTTAGTGCTGTTGGAGTGTGAGCAAAGTAACATTCATGAAGGGATTCAGGAAAACTAGTTAGCCAGACTTCAGTCCTGGAGGTGGGAAGTATAGAGCCTGTTGTCTGAAGAAGGGGTGGAGATACGTTGAAGTTTTTAAACTGTAGTGTCGTCACGCTTCTGGCAAGACAGTGATGGAGTGAATGATGATTAAAGTGTTTCTTGTTGTTTTGGTCACCCTGTCGTGGTGGAAAACGGTTGATAAAAAAAAAAAATTCTCCAGGCTTTTCAAAGTTTTAGTTTCGATAACCATTCTGTCGTAATGCCACTCAAATCCAACCCTTCTGTGGGACCATCCCTAGCCTTCCTTCCCTCATTCTGTTAGCCTTGTAATCTCCATGCTCCAAATTCTCTTAAATAATATTCACATTACACATTCTCCTCAAGCACATCATCTCCACTGCCTCCACACCAACACCTTGTTGCAAATTTTGAAACCCACATAAGTATTGGTACCACTGTACTTTTGTACATTATCCCTTTTTGCCTTCATGGATAAAGTTTTGTCTCCATATATACCTCGACACATCACCTTTTTTTTCCTTGTATTCTACGGCTATGCCAGAGTTTAGGTATCAATTAATTTTGATAGTATCAGTCTAGGAAAGACTAGGTGAATTACAGTGTGTAGTAACAATGGGATGATGCCAGTATTTTTGCCTCTAAGGGTGTGCAATTTTGGGCCAATGCTGATACCTAAAATTCAGTGCCAATATAGCCAAAAATTCTGGTATTGTCCCATCACTAATATATTATGATTGACCTAGTCTTTCCTAGACCCATCTGTTGATATATCCATTCCCAAATATTCTAATACATTCACTTCCTTGAAAATGACATGTCTGTGAAAGACAAGGTGAATCATAGGATATATGAGCAGAAAAAATTGTCATGTTGAGGGATTGGTGAGAAGAGAAGGTTTTTGCATGGAGGAGAAAAGGTTAATGTACCAGAGTATATAGGTGTGAGGTATGGGCTTTAACTCTGTGTCGTGATCCCTTCTTGCGAACTTGCTCTCAGAGTCAGAGAATTTAAAAGAAAAAAACAAAATATTTTTCTTATGATAATCTTTTTTCGTAAGGTAATGAAACCAAAATACAAAGTTTGTTGCAAATGCAGAATTATGCTCTTGCGAAGTTAACGTTCTCAGCAATATTTACACATCAGTGATTTCACTCACTTGGAGTCCTATTTTGGGCCAATTCCATTGCTCCAATCAACCTAACTCATAGCTATTCCTTTTATTCTGTCAGTTGAGTACAAGAAACTGCTCGTTTACTTATTTCAACTACTTAACCCTTTGAGGGTCGAGAGGCCCTCTCCCAAACTCATTCTTAGTCGAAAATGTTTTGGAAAAAAAAAAATTATGAAATGATACTCTTTTTCCGATTATAATGACACCAAAAATATGAAATTTGATGGAAAACTTAGGGAATTGTGCTCTCATGAAGTTAACGGTCTCAAAGATATTTACGCATCGTCGATTTTGCCCTTTTCTCGGCCAATTCCAATGTTGCAGTTGACTAAAATCATAGCCATTTCCCTAGAACTCCATTTGTTCTATCAATTGAGTACAAGAATCTGCCCATTTACCAATTTCAACTAACCAATAAAGTGGTCAGAAATTGGCAAATTGGGCAATTTCACACAGATTTAAAGAGATGCCAAATTTTTCAAAATAGGGTCCAAATAAACAAGAAAAACATTCGGGCACTAAAATACTATTTCATCTTTTTACACGTGTTTTGCTTTCCTTTTAAAATTTTTTTATTTCACAGAAAATAGGTTTTGTTATTTATTACTGCATTATTTAAAAAGGGTAAAATGATGTCGTGCACTTGTGAAAAAATATTAACCCCTTTTTTTTGACGTTATTGGACACTTGGCGTTACTTTTTTTACTCTAAACATCGAAAAAAATCGATCATTTGCTGCTTTGACTGATTTCAAGGTTTTTTCATGGTAAAACCAATCAAAATCATCTCAATTTCTGTATATATTTTCCCCTTTCTGCAAAGGGGCCCAAAGGAAAATGGAATAAGCCATAAATACCATATGAAAAAACACTAGAAAGTCCTGTTTTAACCAAAAACACAGTTGTTTTTTTTTTTTTTTCTCATTTGCACTGTGTGCTTCAAATTTTTTTTTTTTACGGCCATGACCACACAGCCCCATTCTTACATGTGGCCTCCCACTTTTCACCAGTTTTGAAGGCCAAAATTTAGGCGTACTGTATTTGACCGCCCTGGTTGCAATAATTTTTTTTTTTTTTTCACGGGGGTTTTGAAAAGGGTTTAAGGACCCCTAGCTTTATTGACAAGCTTTTTACATTTAAGGGGTTTCCCAAACTTTATTGCAGCTAAGAGCTGTTACCTAATCGTCATTTAAAAGATTTTTATTGTTAAGAGACATACAAGAGGGAACAGGATGAAGTTGGAGCCATCTGGGGCCAGCATTTTTTATTTGATCAACGACGCTGTCTCGTTGACATCATTATCTGAAAGAATTGTTCCATACTAGAGTCATCCGGTATTATATCTCAGAGGGTGATGTTCTGGAAAGGGACAGCCGAGGAAATTGCTGCTTTAGCCCGTCTTGTGGGTAAAAGCTTGTTTCACGCGTCCCGAAGTGGATCCAAGTGTGGGATTTTTTACAATATTGGCCTTTTACATAACAGTAAGGGGACCCACATCCCTCCCAGTTGAAGGCTCTTCTAAATACAGATTATCCAGGATGGGTCCAGGCAAGATGAGACGTCTTGCCTGTTCCACAAGTCAAGCATCGCAGATGAGGGGGGGGGGGGGGCAGGGAAACCAAGAAAATTGAGCAGCCAAGGGTGTGGCGTACTTGGGCCCTTTACAGGGGTCTTACAACCCTTACTGTCAAGCAAGGGGGAAAACGGAAAATGCTGTAAGCTTCCTGGCGCCTTGTTTGCAAGATTTACAACATGGTTCTTCTGGTTTTGTTTTTGGGTCAAATTACCCCAAGGATATCAACTTTTCCCAGGGGCCAACACCCCCCATTCTCTTACACTACCCAGCTTACCATATGGTGCCTAGAGACGATCATCATTTTTTTTTCTCAGGTGCAAATGTTACCTGAGAGAGTTCCGGGGTCAAGCCCCCCCGGCCCCCGGGCGAGCCATCTATTTCCCCAAACTGAAAGCTCTCAGCTGGGGGATTATGTAGCTTAAGCAGCTGGCATTTCTTCTCTTGGATAAGTGAATGTCAGTGTACAGTCGTCTGCATATGCATGTGATTCTGGGATGAGATGAAGAAGGTCATTGAAGTAGACATTCTATAACAATGGACCCAGCACGCTTCCTTGTGGAACACTTGCCCCAATAGGATGTCTTGCTGATTCCGTTCCATTGAGAACTACAACTTAGAGATCTACCATGAAGGTAATCACCTGAGGAAACATAGCATAGAGCCTGCAATTCCCAGTGCTTGAAGTTTTGCTAAGAGGCCCTGGTGCCACACCCGGTCGAAAGCGCCAGCAATATCCAGTGCTACCACACAGCTGACTTTGGATTCATCCAGTGACTGGTGCCACTTAGTGGAGAGGTTTAACAACAGATCAGCAGCAGAGTAACCTTTCCTGAAGCCATATTGACGATCACAAAGTAGTGAGTGGTAGTCAAAAAACTGTCATTTGTCTTGAGATTATTGTCTCAAGGATCTTGCCAGTGATTGACAGGAGTGACACTGGTCTGTAGTTGCTGATTTCTGCTCTGCTCTTCTTTTTGTGAACAGGGACTACATTTGCCTCTTTCCATAGAGAGGGCCATTTACACTGTACTAGGCAGTGCTGAAAGATGCGAGTTAGAGGTGCTGCTAGCTGGTCTGCACATTATTTTTTTATTATTTTTTTTATCACCACACTGGCCGATTCCCACCAAGGCAGGGTGGCCCGAAAAAGAAAAACTTTCACCATCATTCACTCCATCACTGTCTTGCCAGAAGGGTGCTTTACACTACAGTTTTTAAACTGCAACATTAACACCCCTCCTTCAGAGTGCAGGCACTGTACTTCCCATCTCCAGGACTCAAGTCCGGCCTGCCGGTTTCCCTGAACCCCTTCATAAATGTTACTTTGCTCACACTCCAACAGCACGTCAAGTATTAAAAACCATTTGTCTACATTCACTCCTATCAAACACGCTCATGCATGCCTGCTGGAAGTCCAAGCCCCTCGCACACAAAACCTCCTTTACCCCCTCTCTCCAACCTTTCCTAGGCCGACCCCTACCCCGCCTTCCTTCCACTACAGACTGATACACTCTTGAAGTCATTCTGTTTCGCTCCATTCTCTCTACATGTCCGAACCACCTCAACAACCCTTCCTCAGCCCTCTGGACAACAGTTTTGGTAATCCCGCACCTCCTAACTTCCAAACTACAGAATTCTCTGCATTATATTCACACCACACAATGCCCTCAGACATAACATCTCCACTGCCTCCAGCCTTCTCCTCGCTGCAACATTCATCACCCATGCTTCACACCCATATAAAGCGTTGGTAAAACTATACTCTCATACATTTCCCTCTTTGCCTCCAAGGACAAAGTTCTTTGTCTCCACAGACTCCTAAGTGCACCACTCACTCTTTTCCCCTCATCAATTCTATGATTCACCTCATCTTTCATAGACCATCTGCTGACACGTCCACTCCAAATATCTGAATACATTCACCTCCTCCATACTCTCTCCTCCAATCTGATATTCAATCTTTCATCACCTAATCTTTTTGTTATCCTCATAACCTTACTCTTTCCTGTATTCACCTTTAATTTTCTTCTTTTGCACACCCTTCCAAATTCATCCACCAATCTCTGCAACTTCTCTCAGAATCTCCCAAGAGCACAGTGTCATCAGCAAAGAGCAGCTGTGACAACTCCCACTTTGTGTGTGATTCTTTATCTTTTAACTCCACGCCTCTTGCCAAGACCCTCGCATTTACTTCTCTTTCAACCCCATCTATAAATATATTAAACAACCACGGTGACATCACACATCCTTGTCTAAGGCCTACTTTTACTGGGAAATAATTTCCCTCTTTCCTACTACCTAACTTGACCTCCATCCCGTAAAAACTCTTCCTGCTTTCAGTAAACCCCCCCTACACCAACACTTGCAACATCGCCACATTGCCCCCCCCTATCCCCCCCTGTCATACCCCCT